AGATCTGCCTGTTCTGCTCCCCACTCTGTCCCTGGTGAATCCTCTCACCACCCCTGCACCTCTGGCCTGCACCCCAGTTCTGTATGCATAAATAAATAAATCTTAAAAAAAAAAGAAAAAAAATTGGAGAACAAAAGGAATGTGCCTAAGAATTCTATTCACGTGTCATATTTAGGCACACCAGGCCTAAATATTTACTCTGCTCCTCCATAGGAAATGCTTATTGACCCCTGAACTTGTGGAAAGTCCAATAAAAGAGCCCACTCATCTTTTACTTTCACCTAGTTTATTGACTTCTTTCCCAGAAAGTATTAATTTCCACTTGCCATTCTCAAAAGACAGCAAAAGAAACCTGCCGGCAGAAGCTCCGCAGAAGCTCCGCAGATTCTGGGCACCCCCTGCCAGCTGTCTGATTGCTGTCCTTGAACTCCCTTCCTCTTTGGCCCTGGCTTGTATTGATTTCTCTTCCCCAGTCCCCTCTCCCAATGGACACAATCCACCCATTTGCTGCACACCTCCTTTAACCTAGGCTTTTAGGCAGAATCCTCTTCCACGCTGATTACTCTTATGAGTCTGCTTTGCTGTTCTGCCTGGACCCTCCTGGACCACCTGGGTCCTCTCTGGATCTCTTTTTCTACTTTCTCCCTCCAAATCTCAGCTCTTTTGAGGCTGATGCCTTCCAAATATAATATTCTACTCCTACCTTGCTCCTGTCCAGACCCAGTTTTCTTACTCGTTTCTAAGTGGGTCACTTTCTGCCAACCACAACAGAAAATGACAAAGAGAGGACTTCTGGGTCTTCCTTTATCAGACCAACTAGACCATTTCTGTGAGCAGTGTTTATGTGGAGAGGTCTAACCTGGCCTATTACTTTAAGCATAAGCAGAGTATGACCTGTTGAGTGAGGAGGAAAAAGCCATCCATATGGGATCAGCAGGTTCTTCCTTCAGAGCCTGGGTTTCCCTCTACGCAGGTGAAAATCATGGGGTGAAATTGAAGGAAGGCACAGTTTTAACTCTCACAAAAAGGAAATAATGTCACAAAATTAACTACTGATGAACTGCATAAAGGAGGAAGAGTCACAGCAAGCCAGGTGAGTCCTCCCTCCCAGACCACGAAGGAGTTTGAGGTAGAAAGCAGGGCAACCTCACCGTGCCACTTAGAAGGTGGTTAGGGTGGTGGCACTAGCTTTTTGTAGGCTCAACTCTATGTGGTTATTAAAAGATGCCCTGGGAAAAGGAACTTCGGGTAGGAGTGCTGAACTCACATCCTTATCTAAGTGTCCAGACTCTGGTGTGAGAGGGCTCTCAGACAGTAAGATGCCTACACAGCAACTCAAACACCCTTCGCAGTATTCACCTGCTGTCCATTTCACTTGATGTTATTTCTTTTCCTGAAACTTCTGGCCACTTGCTTTCCCGACGACTTCAGCATTATTTCATGTCTGTCCAAGACAACCCTAAGGAAACCTGATGTCCTTGGAATCCAGCACACATTTCTAATCAGAGCTATGATAGTGCTCAAACTTCTGGTATATTCCTTTCTTTATTCCCTCCCCTCCCCCAGTAAATGGGCATACCCCTCAATTCAGCACACATTTATGGGATGCTGACTCTGTTCCAGGGAGAGCAGACCCTCAAATAACCTCCGTATTTCAACCTCATTTCATTAGACCACAGATGAGGGAAAAAATACAAAACAAAACAGTCCCAGTCAACAATGAATGATAGTTATTTGAGGATCAGCTTTTGTTACAATTGTTTTGCTTAATGGCATAGTTTCTAAGAACCTATCAATGATGCTATGTGACAATCTACAGTAGTTTACTAAGCTCTGGGGATCAGGATGACTAAGATATAACCCAGTTCTCAGTATTTTTTTTATAGAACACATAGACATAAATAAAGAGTAAAGTAGGAAGTGATGATTAGCAAAGTTACTAAGAGCAGAGAGAATATTTAGAACTAAACTTTATAACAAAGAAAATTCCAAACTACCTTATGATAATGTTATGAAGTCTAACAAATAAACCACTTACAGAGAATATGATTTTTTTTGATTTTTCCTTAAATATATGGTTTAAGGGCCAAAATCCTGGAAAATTTTTCTGAGTGATTTACTCTTCCTCTGACTCACTATCTCATTTACTGATACATATTGTGCCTCCAGCAATGTCTGTAAACATTAAAGTTCTTTAAATAAATGCAGACTTTTGATTATAATACAAAACACTCCTGTAAACACTCCTGTTCCTTATTAGAAACTGAATTCAATCTTTATTCTATTACGCAAGTGAATGGAATAGTGTCTTATAATTTATGGGTGTTCAGTTAGTCCAGGTTGAGTCACAGCTTTATTTATTGGAATAGACTTTGCAAAATTGTCACTCAATTTTAAGACATGCTTTCAAATAACTTTTCAACTTTAAAAAACTTTGCAACGGGCCCTCCCTGGTGGCACAGCAGGTTAAAGCATGGCACTAAGAAACTAAAGCCACTTCAGCATGAGTTTGATCCCCTCCCGGAGGTGATCCACATGGTGCTGTAAACCTCTCCTGACCCACCCGCTGCTCCCCTCAGCAGTGGACTTTGTCAGTCAGCCTGTTCTGCTCCCCACCCTCTCTCGGGTGAATCTTCTCACTGCCCCTGCGCCCCTGGCCTGTACCCCAGTTCTGCATGCATAAATAAATCTTTAAAAAATAATAAAAAATAAAAAACTGCAGTGTTTACCTTCATTTCTTTTGCCCTTCTTATTCCTTGTAAATCTCCTTAAACTCTTGTCCAGGATGTATGTTACATTAAATGTAAATTGGGAAAACTGAGTCAGGACAAGTTGTCTAGAGACACCCCAAGTACACTAACCTAAGAAGAATTGCTACAGAGAGGTGGGTGTGTTTGCCAGCTTCTGGGAGTCCCTGGGGTGACTCCTGCTTCAGGCACCATCAACTGCCTATTTATTCGTGGCGTATTTTCTGAGAGTCTGCTCCGTGCCACAAACATGTGCAAGACTCTGGAGACACAATAGTGGGCCACAAGGAAAGCTGCGTGCCCCTTGTTTAGGGAAGGTGGACTCAGTTTACCTTAATAAATATGTGATAATTGTATCTTATCACTGATAGAGAGAGCTCATTAGTGTTTCACTTCCTAACAGTTCTGTGATCTCAGTTCTCTGATCTCAGTTCTCTGAGTCTGTTGTATTTCTCTTTCCCTCCGTGTTAAATGAGGGTGCAGAAGATGGCTAACACTAGTGATCACTATGGAGCTTCAAACCTACATTCCTTCTTTTAATTGTGGGATTCTTGATCTCCTGAAGTAGATGTTATCTCCATTTTAATTATAAATACCGAGTAAGACAAACATAGTTATTATTCAGATTATCATTGGGAGGGTGAATAAAAGAAGGCTTGCATTATGGGTCTGGGGGCAGAAATATGCCACAGGACCTAATTTGAAACATTTGATTTAGTGATTGCTAAACCACATAAGTCAGGGATCTTAGGTTTACTTTTTGTTTGTTTGTTTTAACAGCAGTGAGGAAAAAAAAGAATTCCCCTTTCCTTTGCTGAAATCTGAACTGGATCTCAAAATCAAACGTGATCTCCAATATGGATGACAAACGATGGATTTTCCAAGATAGCTGCCATACGTTCATTTTCTAATCCCTGTATTACTTCCCCGCCAGAATTTCTAAATCCTTCCCGAAAAGGGCCCAGTCACACTTTCCCAACTTCTGAGTAAACATCCTCCGGCTTCATCAGCTTTCCGCAAAGCCCCTAGGCACAGGCAGGGGCAAGAAGCCGGGGCGCAGCGCCCAGCGCGGGGGATTCCAGCTCCGCAGGTACCGCGGGCGGTGAGGCCGCGGGGTGTCAGCGCGCCCGCCAGCCTACAACGCGCGAACGGGCTTCCCAGCTCCCAGCTCCATCCCACCCGCTGCGGGAGAACTGAATGAGGAGCGGCGCTATTTTCACCTTCTGGGCTGCAATCCTTTACTTTTATTTGTGGGGAGGAAACAAATAAAGGATTTAGGGGGAAATGCTTGTCCTTGTTTCCCTTCTCCCGCCCACCCCCCAAGGGTTTGGAATAGAGGGAGACTATATAAGGTCTGATGTGGTGGGAAAGGCAGGTCGCCTGGTCTGGATTATTCTCTCTG